ATCAGCATGGAAAGATAACAGAAAATATACAAGTACTAGAAATTAAAAAAAATTAAAATCACATATGTCTAAATACCAGTGGGTCAAAGTGAAAGTCTCATGGAAATTAGAAATGTTTTCAACTGAACTGAATTGAAAATGGAATATATCAATACTTACAGAACCAACTAAATCAGTATCTAATGCGAAATTTGTTGCACTAAAATGCTAAAATGTCTTGGAAAAGAAGAAAAGTCTCAACTCAATAAAATAAACTTCTAAATTAAGAAACTTGGAAAAGAAGATAAAATAAATCCAATGGAGTGGAAGTTAGGAATTCAGGCCAGAAAAAATGAAATTGAAAACAGAAAAATAATACATAAAAAATGGTGAAACCAAAAATCTGAGGTGTTTTCCTTGAAAGAAAAAGGAAATTGGCAAGTCTTTTGGAAGACTGACAATAAAAAACTACAAGTTACTAACAAGAAATGAAAGAGGAGAGTATCATTACAGATTTCATACTCATTAAAATAATAAACGAATATTCCAAATAATTCTAAACACATAGATTCAATGACTTTAATCAGTCATTCAAGTCCTTAAAACACATAACTTGACAATCTTCAACCACAGTAAGTAGATAATCTTAGTAGTTCTATAATTATTGAAGAAATTAATTCATAAACACTGAGCTCTCCTGCAAAAAGAAATCTCAGGCCCAGCTGGTTTCATCAGTAGGTTCAAGAAAATATGGAAAAAGAAATATCAATTCTACACAGTGTTTCTCAGAATATAAAAGACACATGCCCTACAGCACCCACAGAAATCACACTGAGGATCATAAACAACAGGATCTCCAAGACGAAAATGATGTATATCATAGCCAGTAGCATTATCTCTCAATGGTGGGGTCGATCCTTATTTATTTTGAATTGTAGAGTCCTTTTTTCTATCCGTCAAAGTTCAAAACTTTGACTCTAGAATTCCTTCTGGTTCTATCAATTTAATTATTATAAACAATGCTACAATGAAACCTTCATTTGCATAGATGTGTGGGTGCACAAACGTGTGCATGTGGATTCGTGTTCATATTTGTTGATATTTAAAGGGATTTGTAGAATAAATACTTACAAGCCAAAGGGGAAAGTTTTAAAAATTAAATAAATTGGAATAGGCAAATTGCCTTCCAATATATCAATTTATATCCCACCAAAAGTGAAAAAAAAATCCCTTAATTTTTTCAACAATCTCACCTGTATTGCCTATTATCAATCACCTAAATTTTTGCTGATCAGAACAATGATAATCTCATTGTTTCAATTTGTGAATTTTTATTAGTAAAGAAGTTGAAAACACTATTCTGTTGGAAATTTTTATGTTCCTAGATGCATTACTCATACCCTTTGCCAATGAGGAGGCGATCTTTCTCAATTTTTAAGTATTCAGTCTATTAGGACTACTAAACCTTTGTCATAGTCTTAATTTTAAGTTTATGTAGCATGTATAAATTTATCTTTAGTAAAAATTTTGAATCTTATCTTCTAAAACTTATGAAATTCACGTTGTTTTTATTGTAACAGTTACCTGAACTTGGACTACTTTTTTCTCTCACTGCTTTGATCAATTTTATTCAATTTTTTACTCAAATTTCAAAAATTTTCCATTTTTTACATGCAGATCACTTTCTCTGTAATGAACTTCCAGGCTTTCTTTTGCACAATGAATCACTGCTTTTAAATATATCTTTAAAAAACATACACACTTCAGAGTACATTTCCTAGGTAATTTTGCACACTGTTGCCTCTCATGCTATATCGTGGCCTTCTTGAGGTAAGAGTCTGTGATTCCTTCATTCATGCAGTAAGGAACACAGCATGTCGTAGGTGCTCAATAGCAACTGTAGCTAGAGGAGCACATGACTGGCATCTTATATAAATTTTGGATCATGTAAGAGGACCATTTTGTGGACTTGGATCACAGCATGAGGCTCTATGGCCTAAGACTGTCCAAAAGCAAACAAGCATGATACACCTTGGTCTCTTGCTACATAGAGCCACAGACTCTTCATATATACCTGGGACCCAGAAATAAGGATTTACAAAATGTCATTTTACATAATTATCACTCAACTTCCTAGAGGAAAATTTAATTGAGTTTAGAAGGGTTTCCCTCAGAGTGCAAGGAATAAGCACATGCAAAAGTAAAAAGTTACATAGCCCGTAGCAATCCTTCCAAGAGAACATTTATGAGAAAATTACCCACCTCTTGAAGATATGATGGGGATGTTTGGACACTTCATAAATAACAAAACCTGACACAGCAAATGATATATTAGATAAAAGAGTCAAGAAGCAGCACCATTCTTGAAAATATAAATTAAAATATGAATTTTGTGAGAAATCACATTCATCTTCATCTGCTAACCCAAGGGAGTTCATTCTCAGTGACATTAAAATCATTCTAATGAAGAGGACACACACATTATCTGCAATTCCACTCAAATTTCCTTTGTTAATGATCAGAGCAAAACATTGTGGGTTCATTTTATGACTAGTTATTGAGGTAAAGGTTACAACTACAATCAGTAAAAATAGGATGAATTTATCAATTTCTAGATTCCTTTGCTTAATAACTTGACGTGTCTTTTCATGTCCATAGAGTTGTATTTCTTGCACAGTGAAAGAATGCTTGGCTGACATCCCGACTTATTAAAATATTATATTAAAGAGGAAAATAATTTATGTGCAGGCTTTGGAAACTCCTTAGCAATTAATCTATACACAGAAAAGTGAAAATATTCTTCCAAGTAAAAAGAGATCAGTTGCAGCAGTTGTTTAGAAGGACTGGAATCTAAGAGACTCTTATTTCTTCATTTATATAGCAGAATACTCGTTATTAACATCTTGAGGTAGTCCACCATGTTTTTGCTGCTGTTGCTGGGGAGGGTTGCTGTAACCTAGTCTCATCTGCATAGATATCACAACTAGATATAGGTAGGCAGAGACAGAGACAGAGGTTGAGGTATAGACAGAGATATTACAATACTCTTAAGACAAGGGGAGACTCGGGCTTCATACAGAATTATAAATTTGGGGGAATGTTATCATTCTTTGGAGACAGAAACAGGGCAGCCCCAAATAGCCATGCTTTTTTATTCATTTAGGTTCATTCTCACTCTATTTTCATATTTCTTTCCATACAGTTGTTCTGATTGCCTTATTTTTTGTTTCTTTTACTGGCAAAACCCTATCTAATTTTCCCCAGCATTTTCAAAATCCCCTTCTATGAGGACCTAGGACATACCTTCAAGCACTAGGCAGGACAAAATATTTTTCATGACCCCTTTAGAGGAAGAGAAACAAATTAACATTGCGGAATACATAATACAACAAAAGATATGCTTAGATTGCTCAGAGGGTTTGTTCCCAATTCAGACAGGTAGAAATAGTGATACAGAAATGATCTCAGGGGAAGGTAGGACAAACAGGGCAACAAGGGAAAAATAAAAATTGCAAAAAGAGGTGAAAAAAATGCAACTGCTATTTTCAAGGAGAACATTTCCAAAAATACAGAGAAGAAAAAAAAATTAAGGCCCATTAAAATGATACTTGCTTTAGTGTGCAAAATGCTGATAATAATAAAAACTATAAAATAAAAAAAATCTTGTGGTTCTCTACTTTAAGTTTTATAACTTTTAGCCTACTTCTAGGAATCCAAGAGTCAAAAAAAAGACTATCTCTGGAGAAAACACAAAAGTATGGCTATGCCTTGGCAGGTGTTAACTCATCAGAATTTACACTTTTTTTTTTTGGTACCGGGGATCGAACTTGGGTACTTGCGCTTGCGCAGCGGGCGGCAAAACCACTAAGCTAAATCCCCGGCCCAAAATTTACACAGTTTAATGTTCACTTATACTTCATTCTGAGGTCTTGAAGGTCTGGCCCCTTGGGATTATCTGCCCATTTCATTTCATTGGTTCAGTGACGATTGAGAACAGTATCTGCATTGAAATGAAGTGGCCAACGAGGCAATATATATCCTTCCTTCGCTTTAGTGGCGAGGCATCAGGGTACTTGCAGAGTCAATCGTTTGTATTTTGGGTTGTTTCCTCTTCCTTTTCCCAACTTCACCTTCTCCCAATATTAAGAAGTATACTGTACATCAAAAATGTACATGGTGCAAATTCCAGTATAATCTTATGGCAAACAACATCCTTAAACATGTCAGCAGGCACTTTAAGACAACCTAATAACTCTTTTTTTCTCCCATATTTTATAGCAAATAATAGGAAAAACAGCAGGATTTGTATGGCAAATAAATGATAGGAAAAGAAACAAAAAAACCTCTACCTCACTATAGTCTGCACAAAGTCTGGAGATTTCATCTAAACATTTCAGAAAGTGTCATTAACTGTTACTGTCATTAACACTTTATACGCCTTAGCTTGCCTGGGAGGGTTGTGACATGTAAGGTCTTGTCATTTTATAAATGAGAAACTGAGGCCTTGGGCCTGAGTGACTCAGTGGTAAAGCCAAGAAAATCCTGTTTTGTGTATTAGTTATCTTCTTTCTTCTCCCTCTATCACCAGATACCTGAACAAGTGCGTACAATGTACTTCTTCCTCCATCATTAAAGGACAGTTCATTGAGGAAGGGAGTTTGCCACAGTGGAAAGTGCTCTGGGTAGAATCAGTTTTAGATCCAGATTCTTTCTTCCTCTCAACCAGCTGGTAAGCCTTGGTGGTATCATCCTCTCTAAATTGGAATTGACATGATGAACAATTGAGATGAAAGATGTTAAGATTATTTTCAATCTCTTCCCTCACATATTCCAGGGAACTGAGGCCAATCCAGAATCTATAAACTACTACTAATTATGTCTCAGCTGGCTAGATCGGCTTTGTTGGCAATGGTCTTGCCTGTTCAGATCCACCTGACTTTTTGCATGCCTTTAAAATACTGGCTGAACAGAACTGTGGATAGCATGGCTTACAGGTTAGAGAAGAAACCCCCGCCACTCACCCACATGGGGTCACTGAGGTCTGAGTCTTGCATGCGGATGCAGTCCATGCTGATCTCAATCTTGTTAGTTGCACCATTTTCTGATGACTCATCCACAAAGTTCAAGTCAATGGGCTGAACTGAACATATAGGCCTAATGGAAAGGAAGTGAGCATTAGGCAAAGGAAGGAACTAAAATAAGCTACACAATACATGCTTTCTGCTTCAAAGTTAGCAAGGCTTATCATTCTCTTAGAGTCAGAAACTGTGATTCTAGGTCAACCCCTTTCCGGATGTGTAATTTCAAGCAGTTCAAATCTAAATGTTTTTTATGAAATGAAAATCATGAATCATGACTCCTGCACTCCCCAAGGAAGTGCTGGGTGGAATGGACAGAGCAAATGGGTTAAAAATACAGTACTTTGTACCATATTTTATAGGGACCCTACAGTTCTAATATTCTATTTATCATTTCCTTAATTTACTCACTTAAATCCTGGATTTAATAAAGGAGTAACAATGCTTCAGAGAAAGACAAAAATGGCTAACAAAATTTAGTGTTTGATCTTCCTGGGCATGCTTGTGTTGTAAGCATGCATAGGTCTTCCAGCTACAGGAATAGACTTTGAGTATCAAAGAGACATTGGGGAAGCTGCTTTAAATTGTTCAGGAAATCACTTGTAGATGCTCCAAAATTATACCACTTCTGAGAAATAATCATCTTTTGATATGACAAAATGGACAAACAACCACTGGGTTTTGAAAACTGTGATGATATTGGAGACAATAAATTTCTCCAGCATTAACTAATTATTAACTGATTCTGGAAACATACTGCAGTAAGCAATATTTTGTCCATCCACATGTACCTAGTTTTAATAGTTTAAGTACAACATTTCTTATTTATTGGATACTTACTGCTCCAGAAAATCCCAGATATGCTGAAAAACCTCTGGACTGAGGAATTCACTTGTCTGTGTGCTCTGGGACATGGTAGATCGGTAATAACTTTCTTTCCAAGAGAAATGAGCTGGGGTTTCTACGAAACTTAAAAGAACAAAAATGAAGCTAAGATTGTACTTTCTGTATTTATGATAATGAATATTTAAATTAAAGCACACTCTATGAAGAAAACATCTAGTGAACCTATAAAATTATGCACTTAAATACAGCACAATTTAGAAGTTGCACAAATGTTTTTTCTTTAGGAACATTATGGATCCCATTTTACCATAAATTCACAGACTTCCAATGCTAGACAATTAAGTCTTTATCAAAGTTCATCTTTTCTAATTAAAATATGGTTATTATGTGCTATACTTCCGCTATCCAACATTTGAGTGCTACAGATTTCAAAAAGAAAATAAACATTTCCTCATTAAATTTGACAGCAAGTCTGACCTATCATTAATTATTTCAACTGATTACTTGCCTATTCTGCCACTAGCAGGTAAGAAATAGAAATAAAAAACAAAAATGAGCTAAGAGAACTTAAATTTCAGCCTCAGATTTATCACCCATCTCATAAATACAATCTGAATATCACACTCAAGGACAATAAATTGAAAACTCTGGACTTAAGTTTTTTATTTTTTAATCACTATTTACCTTAGTGTGTCCATGTGGGTGGTTCTTAAATGGCGAATTCTGGTAGAAGAAGGGATAAGCAAACACCTGAACACTTTGCAAATTAATACTATTTCTATTTGTTTCATTTTGTTATTGAGTCCTCAGATTTACAAATATATATATATTTAATTTGCTGCCTATACATTGCAAGGGAAATACCAGCTTTCTCAGGTGATGCATTCTGTAAATTTGAATATTATCTGTACAGATTCACTTTGATGATCAGCACAGTAATTTTCCCCCAGAATGAAATTAACTAAGCTCTTAATCATTACTATTCATATCATAAAGAAATAAATGGTATACTTGAATAGTCAATCTTCCTAAATTTTCAAATGTATATTTTCATCTAGTTGCATAATAAAAGATACTAGTATTGTATTTGTTAATGATGATTTCCTAGCTAGCTACAAGAGCATATTTATTTGCTGAAATTAGACATACAGAGAACATGCATTAATTTTCAGGAAGCATAATGGAGAATAAAAAGTAAGACTCTCTCACCCCTCTGGGAGGCTATGGTGTAGAAATAAAACAGAAAAGCAGACCTATAATAAATACGATAACAGGGTAGACAGTGCTATAAAAACACAAAAATGAAATGTATAATCTCATCTGCAGGACCAAGAAAAGACCCAAATGATGAGAATAAATTAGCAGGGCAGGTAAGAGCTAATGATATAGAGTGGGCACTCTATTGCAACAGCATAAACAAAGTACTAAAATAGAAAATAGCTTTGTGCATGTGAGAAAATTACAAGCAACTCTATGATAATATGACCCAAAAATTTTGGACAGAAAAACGTTGGAAAATGCTACAGTAGAGAAAAATAGAAGCTTATATGCAAATTTTAAAAGTTTTGGATACTTCAATACTTGCAAAATGCTTTTAAATTAACATTGCATTTTGAGAAAATTGTAGATTCACATATAGTTGCAATGTGCAATACAGAGCTATCTAAGATATTCTTTACCTAGAGTTTTTCCAATGGCAACATGTTGTAAAACTCCTATAAAATGCCACAACCAGAATATGCACATTGAGAGGTTCTACCAATCTTATTCCGAAGTTTCAGTCAGTTGGCAGGCAGCTGTACCCACTTGGGTGTGTGCTCAATTCTGCACAATTTTACCACATGTGGAGGGTAGTACAATTATCACCACAGAACCAAGGAGTTTGAAACATTAAATGGACACAGAATATTTTGTATTGATTTATACGAAAGAAGGCTTACAGTACATCAGTTTATTTGTAAAGTAGTTATTTAGGGAATTTCTGCACCAGTACAGTAAGAAAATAAGAAGAAGAATTGGTGGAGCTGGAGCAAATGGAGACAAACTTGATTAGTGAAAAGGGCAAATCATGTATTGGTCATGTTATTCTGAAGGGGAGATAAAGGAGTCAAACACATTTCCAGCTTGCTTAAACTGAGTGATGGTTCCGTGGGTTACATCAGTAAATACATTGGAAAAATCAGGCTTGGAGAAGGAGATACAGTGATCTACATCTCAGCATGTTGAATTTGAAGTGCCTGTGAAGGAATTTGTGACAGTGGATCTACAGAACACATAGACATTGAGAAGTTTAGGGTATCTGACAAGGAAACAAAGTTTTTCTAAATGATCAGCAATTCTATATAGATAAGGGATTCAGAAAGATAAGACTTGAAAAATTGGTTTCACCATGAATAGGTCACTGGCAATTTGACACTCATACTATCTCATACTATCAAATTTCAGGGATTCAGGATTAAGGAGGGAAGTATAGAGGAAGTGCTCTTTTGTTATAGTTGGAGTAGAAGAATCTGAATTATGCCTAAAGAGGAAAAGCAGAAAGGAAGGATCCAGGAAAAATGGAGAAAAATTCAGGAAGGAATTTTTATTGGAAGGAAAAGGAATGGTGTGCAGAACAATCTGGGCAGAGGAGTCAAGGGCACGAGTAGAGAGGGGGGACTAGTGAAATGTGGGCTTGTATAAACGCTTGTCCTTCGGTTAGCATTCAGGAATAGAAGTGAGGGGAATGGAGGTTTGTACAGGGTCTCTTACTGGTTAGCAGTGACATTAAATACAGGCAGTTCCTGAGAATCAGAAACAAGGGAGTGGGGGTGGGGACTTGAAGCAATGGGAAAGTAAGGAGAGGGAGAAAGAAGAACATTTTTGTGGAAATTAGGAAAAAAATAGAAATAGATGATGATTACAACCAATGCTATTTTTGTTTTTTCTGCATTAGAGAAAGTGATAGTGTCTTCTTTCTCTCCCTCCCTCTCCCTCTCTCTCTCTCCCTCCCTCCCTCTCTCTCTCTCTGCTGAGGATTGAACCAAGGTCCTTTGCCCTAATCCCCAGGCCTTTTTATTTATTTACTATTTGTTTTCTTTGGAGATAGAGTCTCACTAAATTGTCCAGGAAAGACTCGAAATGTGATCCTTCTGCCTCAGCCTCCCCAAAAGAAAGGCACAGATGGTCAGAGTTGGTGATATCCTTACAGAGTTATCTAATCTTGAGCTCTCATTTCATAGAGAAGTTGAAACCTAAATATCAAGAACTTGCCCTAGATGCACTGTCATGAGATAGTGTTGGCTAATGAAAATTGAATGCTAAATTTTCCATGTCAGTTGTTAAAGACAGTCATTATTATGAAACTTAACACTAACTTAAATTAAAATACAAAGATAATAAACTCTCAACACTCATCACTTCCTAACTCTCATCCTGCTCTTGAAAGTCACTTAAAAAAAAAGAATATAGTTAAATTGTTCAGATCTCCAAATAGTAAAATCACTTTGGAATTGAATGCTGCTGCTCTGTAATAATGTATTTCAATTAAAGGTTTTGTATACAAGCATCCAATAATATACTAGTACTATGTGGAAGGCTGTGTGGAGGATTTAATGATGAACGTGAGATGTGGTTTTTGAAGTTGTTTATAGTTAATTGGTAAAAATGGAACACCTCTAGTATTTGTCTAATTTTTACTTTCTGTCATAAACTTTTGTGTTCTGGCTCTTAATTTCCCCCTGGACTAGTACCTTCTTAAGGGCCGAAAGTCAGTGGCAGTCAGGCTTTCTGTTTATGTTCTTGCCTGGTAGGAAAGAATCACCACTGACTATGGCAGGATTTATTTAGAGCCTGCTTTTCAAGTTAACATAAGATGACCCCCCAGGCTTAGAAAGGGAAAGGAATTTATTCAAGGTCACTCAGCTAGCAAATGATAAAGCTGCGAGTTAAATTTAAGACTATTCCTTCAAAAAGGAAAAAATGGAAACAAAGTCTTTGTGAATAGGGAGGGGTAGAGGGGTTGACAGGAGGGCAGGGGAATGGTGAAAAAAATAAGAGCGAAGATATATCATGTAAAGGTACAAATTCCCAATGATGAATGTCATCATATTGTATACCTAAAATGTACCAATAAACTTAATGAAAATAAAGAGATTGCATTCTTTCAAAGTCATGCTTTATTGAATTACATATGATTTCTAATATTCATTCAGAATAAATATTAGGAAATATGAAGTTTGCATTGTTAGGATTACTTTGACTATTAAAAATATCTGCTATTTCTATCTGATGACAATCACAAGATGAACAGGGAATGGCAAAGGGAAGTTGATAATGATAAGTGGATGCTATTTACAGAATGTCTGGCCCATTCACAGACTCTAAATGGCTCTAGCGGGAGTTGACTCACATGTTGTGTAAGAAAGACAGACGAAAATACTATTTCTCAAGGGAAACTGGCCCCAAATATACTGGGAGTATCTTTGCCTGTTAGCTAAAAATTCAGAACATGACTTCATAATCTTTTACCCATCCATCTATCCATTTATCCAACTATACATCCACCAATCTGTCCATCCATCCATCCAACCACCTACTCAAATATCCACCCATCCACTCATCCATCCATCCATCCATCCACTCTATCAATCATATTACTGGTGTACCCTTTCATGCCAACTTCTCTATATTTTCCATAAAATGGGTAACCTTGTTAGGGTCAGGAGCATTTGAGATTATACAATTCTTTTTACATTATTTCAGAAATCATTTCCATTCTTTTAAGTTACTCTGTTATTAATATCACTCTCATTTTTAATTGTATTTACCTTTGAAGGTGCCAAGGGACACACTGATGTCTTGAGTGCATTGCTCCTTTACTGTACCCAACAGCCCTTAGGGGCCTAGAGGGCTAAATGCATTAATGCTCTAGTTAAGTCCCCCTCACAAAGTTCCCACACCTACTCTAAATCAGGCCCATTAATATCTTTCCTTCTGTCAATGGAATGTTTTATTTCCAACTCCATGCTGAAAATGAATAGTCCATTTCTTCTCTCTCCATCCCTCTCATTCTAACCCGTATGTCAGCTTCACTCTTGGCAAACAGAACTTCAAAGGACAAAATGCATTTACAGCTTATCCAA